CCTGAGCTGTCAAAAGCCAGGTGGAGTGCTAAACGGCTAGAAAAGGTGGCTGACTCATATCCACCCGAAGTGTTATATCCGACGTGTAAATAACGTCTTGCGAACCAGCGGCAATTTTGACAGCAAGAAACAAAGACGGTATTTCAATTATCAAGAGTTCTTTAAGCCGTGTATAAAAGTGACGTTTTCAAGCTTCCATATGCTTTTCTCTTACCATATTTTCTTTGTTTATCATTTATTCTTTAATAAAATAATAATTTTATTTAACAGTTCAGGTGGAATAAGAAGTTGTCCATGATGTTAAATTGCCACATAGGCCATCAAATTCAAATTTGATGTTTTTTATTTGACACTTCCCTTGGAGATGCTCTAAAGAAGTCATGGAGGTATGCTTATTTTCAATTTTTTGATGACATCAAAGATAAGGTATCACTAGCAATTGCATTGAAATTGGCTCAGCTGCAAAGGATGTTTTGATTGGAAAAAAGAGCTCTGCATTTGGGCCCTGCCTCTTATTTGCTTTGTTTCAAGGTTGGCCTGGTTTCTCCTAGGCGTTGTTAGCCTGTGTAAGCTTTCATTGTGCTCTTATCATTAAAGTTTTGATGTACTTTAAAAAAAGAAAAAATTTAAAGAGTAAGGATTGCATGCAGAGAAAGGTCCAAACAAGTTTCGTTAACACTAGATACTTCCATAGTTCCATTAAAGTTTTTCAAAAGCTGAAGACTAAATAGTGCAAGAACTACTACAAAAAAAACATATCAGCGCTACAAATAACAAGTTCCATGCCAAGTAAATACAACGAAACATTAGTCACTTCAGGCATAGGACGCTACTGCCTATAAATCAGCAACAAACATCAACATGTTAGATAACAAGAACCGGGAGTGACTGCACATCAGGCATCAGGCACTTCAGGCAAACAACGTTACAGCCCTACAAATCTGCAACAACAGAAAATAAGAAAAGTGCTGCGTTAATCAATTGTCATGAGAACTTTTCCCAGTACTTCAGGAGTGCAACTGAGAGTTCCTCTTCCCTAAATGGAAGCTAAATTGGAAACGAAACTATTGTACAAATGAAAACCATTGGAAAAGGGATTAAAGCATGAACTATAGGACAATCTCTTACAGCAGCAAACAAAACCATATAAATTGAATACACAAACTTCACTACAGTAGCAGTAATCAGTCCCCCCTCAAAAGTCATACCAACTTGATATTATATGAGTCAAAAACTAAAAGCACTCATAAAAGACCAGTCTAACCGTGTTTACATGAAAGCTGAGTTGATATTATTATAATTATATTGTTTTTAACTTTTTGATATCCAAATTGAGTTTCCATGAGAGCTGAGTTGACTTTAGTCACAAGTTGTGTTCTAGCAACAGAAGCAAGAAAGACAATCAGCTAAAGGCAAAAAAACCCACACAAGTCGACATATTAAAGATCCCACAGCAATTTAGTCACCAATCATGCTTTTAATGAACATAAAAACCTGGCAAACAAAGAATTGAAATGTTCTGCTCTCAGCACTATAATCACATTACCTGTTCTTCCTCTTAGTAAGACTCTGCATTGCTCTTGTCGAGTAAGAGGAGGCTTTCTTTATAAAAATGACCAGTACAATATTTATATCCAGAAATCCCAAGAAGTTTAAACTGTTTGCTCACAAGGTCTAGTGATACTAGTTCCTGCCTCTCTTTTTCTTTGAGCAGTAACAGTACTTCCCCACTCTTCCTAAAACATAAGGTGCCGAGGAAAATTGTTTCTGGACCTTGTGGATTGAGAGTAATCAATTTGGTCCATGATTCCTCTCTGCCATACTCTTTCATCACCCACATATCAAGAACAGATTCTTCATGCCCATAATCCATATAGAAATCTTCACGATTGTTTGGCCTCATGAACAAAGCAATAGATTTTTTGTTATCAGAAACAGACAATTGCAATCCCCACTTGGGATTCCAATGGATAATCTTGGGTATAGGTATCTTACCGAACACCTCCTTGCCCAGGTCAAACGTCAATATAAAATAGCGAGAATCACCATTTGTGTAACCAACTACAGGCCAATGAAGAACCCCATTAACAAAAGCATTGGATGCAGCTCCATTTGTTCCACATGCAGGAGAAACACAACCAAGACTCCTCCATGTGCCAGTGGCTAGGGAATAAACCTCAGCTACAGTTGGCCTGTCATCTTCTGTTGTAAAGTTACAAGTCGCACAACCTTATAGTCATTGGTCATAGCATCAAAACCGAACCCAATAGAAGCATCATACCCACCATGCGTCCTGAAGGTAACTCCAGGCCTGGGAAGGGTCACTAACTTTCTAATGGCTGGGTTCCATATAAAGAAGTTGTAACCATAACAGAGGGCATCATTCGCAAGGCAGATTAGCCTGCTACAAGTGCCGACCACATGAAGATGAGAATTGCACAGTTCTTGCTTTGGAGCAATTGGAATTCGATCTGGGAGTACACATCAAAAGCGTGGTTATCATAATGCACAGAGTGAACCTCATCTTTTATCTCGGAAATGATCGTTTTGTGGCCGTAGGTTCTGGTTCTGTTACAAGAAATTATGTGGAGTAGGAGGAGGTCAATGTCATCCTGGTTAGCAACATCGACTGTTAGGCTTAAGTGGGCGCGGATAAAGCTTTTGTTCATGATCATGGACCTCCATGCCTTGCACACTGAGGTGCAATTGATCAGAGATTTAACGGGTAGCCTAAATAGGATATCTTGTATGATTTCCTAAGGAAAAGCTTCAAATTTGAATTCCTGCATCGCTTGTGTGATATCTTGTATGTTATCCATGTCTAGCACATTCACGTAGTTATACCAACTAAGAAAAGCAGTAGAGACAAAACTCAGCTATAACTGAGATAAATAAATAAATATCCAGGGAGCTGTTCTTACAGCAGAGTACCAATAAGAAGGAGCAACAAGAACCCCAAACGTCATAATTTTCAAATCAAACCCAATCTCTACTCTATCAAAATGTGCAAAAATAATTCATCGAAAACGCAAAAAGAAAAACTTCTACACACATATCATGCTATCATTGACAGAAATACAAGAGTATCTACTTACCGAATCTATTTGTTCAATTAATTATGGTGAAGTGCTATTAATTAAGTACCAATGGCAGTGATTAGTTTGAAGAACTAGTTTGGTTATATAATAAATAGTACGCTACGTGTATAGAACTACAAGCAAATAACATAATACAGGTTTATTTTTTCATGAAAAAAGAAATACACACCATCTCTTTCATTGTTTTTGTGGATATAAAAAGAAATATAATTGAAAAAATGCTCTAATAAATAGATTACTACTGACCTACTGATAAATCACCTCATCTTTGACAAGTTGAGCTTCGTTTCGCATCTTTATACGGTATAAAGATGCGAAACGAAGCTCAACTTGTCAAAGATGAGATGATTTATCAGTAGGTCAGTAGTAGTCTATTTATTATACCTCACAATTTGTATTAATATATAAATCGGTCCGATCCCAGGCGCTTGCGAATAGAGCAGACTTTGTTGGGAGAGGTCCCCGCTTTGCGCCCGACAGTACCTCAAGGGTTAGTCCCCGCAATCGCGCGGGGGATACCTTGGTTTTCACCAAAAAAAAAAGAAAGGAGTAGAACCCTTTCTAGCCTCTAGGCCATTCATTTCCGTACATGATAGTGAACGCGTCGGTTGAAACCCTAATGCATCTCTGTCCTTTATTTATATCTCCGTCCCTGATTAAAAGCTTGAATAAGGTTTATCTCTGGTTGATCTGGTGGTTCATGAATTGGAAAAGCTTTCCTGAGAACAATTTATGCGGAATTTTCTTTTTATCGCCATAATGAAGTATTATTTCTATTTTGACCCCTCATTTTTCTGTAGCTTGTATATATTGCCGAATTTTTCATTTGTTCTTTTCACAAATTTTGCCAAATAAAACACCTGGGTATTTCATTCGCACTTTTTCATGCATTGCCCTCTTGCAGCTTCTGTTTGGCGCTATGTTGAGAATTATTGGCCATGGAGGTTCTTTTCAGGATTGCTTAATGAATTGTTTAACTAACTACAATGCTCATATCACAGTTTCTCTAGCTTTGAGCAAAATCTTACTTGTTTGTTGGCAAATTTGGGAGTCCATAAATCATTGTACCTTTCGACATATATGCACTCATCCAACAAAAAGTTTGACAGTTGTTGCTCACACTTGTGTTGAGTTCTTCTGGCATAGTTCTCGTGGCCAAACTACTCCAATCAGATGGCTTCCGCCCAAGCCCCCATTTCTCAAGACAAACTTCGATGGCTCTGTTAAAGCTTCTTCTTCGTCTGCTTCAGTTTTTGTTATTAGAGATGCAGGAGAAACACAATCAAGATTGCTGCATGTGCCTGTGGCTAGGGAATAAACCTCAGCTAGAGTTGGCTGCTCATCTTCCTCCAATAAAGTCACAAGTCGCGCAACCTTATAGTCATTGGTCATGGCATCAAAACCAAACCCAAGAGAAGCATTGTTCCTACCATGTGACAGAAAGGTAATACCAGGCCTGGGAAGGGTCACAAACTTTCTAATGGTTGGGTTCCATATAACGAAAGTTGTAAGCATATTAGCATAAGAGGGGATATCATCCGCAAGGCAAATTGGCCCATCACAAGTGCCAACCACACGAAGATGTGAATTCCCAAAGTTTTTCTTTGCGGCAATTGGAAATTCGATCTTGGAGTACACATCAAACGCCTGGTTATCATGATGCACAGAGTGCGCAAATATTAACTGAAAAAAGAAAAACAAAAAGAGTTGTGATATTGCCATATTCATATATAATCAATCACTATCATGTAATGCTCAATGTACTTGCAACTTGCAAGCTATTAAGTAGAGATCAAGAAATTGCGATGCCACTTGACTCTTTTATTCTTTTCTATCTTTTCATGAACTTTCCCACAAGAATACAAAGTGATACAAAACAGACATCATCTCTAAGATAGATATCTTTGGTGTTCGGAAAGGAGTATGGGAAATCACACGATGGGTACCGTCGGCAATTTGATAAAAATTTGATATTGGAACAATGCCTTTGGACCATAAGAATTGAGATCAAATTGGAAGTTTATCAATTAATTTCCTTCTTGCACATTTAAACAATTAGCAGATCCCCTCTTCTCATATGTACACTCATTGTTTCAAAATCAATTTGCCATTACAGACGGTAAGAGTAGTAAGTCCGTCATTTTCCATTCAAGTTCGAAATTCTCTTCTTTTACATCAAAATTAGGTGTAGTTTAAACTATCTCTCATATGTACATTCGTTTTTGTTGTTGTTGAGAAATTATGTGATTGCATTCATAATTCCAAAAAAGCCACTAGCCACAATGGCCAATACAAATTAGCCACAAAGGGCCATTACAATAATGGAGCGATCTAACATCAAAATTAAGACAATTGGTGCGCCTCCACGAATGATCACACATGATTGAAGAAACTCTGGCATAAGCATCCCAATTAAGATTGCAAATTCATAATAATAAAAAAGATATAAAGCTTGAAAATACAAATAAAACTCTCCCAGAGGAGAGATGAAAAGCTCTCACAAAGGAGATGTGAAAAGCTCTCACAAAGGAGATGTGAAAAGGTTTCACAAAACTAGAGGTGAAAACTACAAAGAGAACTCAAAAAGAGTATCTGCGACTTATTCCAAACCGAAAAAAATCGCGAAAAGGATGGTGGCGGAGATCCGACATCGTGACGCAACCGCCTGTAATGATTGGAGGAAAATCATAATAAAACGAAGACAAATATAGATAGCTTTGTCTTCGAAAATGGGGGAAGAGAAGAATGGAGAAAAAGAAGAGAGGAGAGGAGAGGAGAGGAAGAACAGTGACTAGATTAACTCTGGGAGTGTTTTTCCACAAAGAGAGATGCGTACTAGATTGACTAATAGGCATGAATAAGACTAAAAACCCTTGTAATATTTTGGCACCAAAGTCTTTGATTGGTACATTCGTTTTTTTCAAAATCATTATGTCATTAAGTGGTACACGGACTTGCGAATTTTTAGCAAGAGACTGCCGACCATACAAGACTTGAGTCTTGGTCAATGGTACAATAGTTAAATCACGTACGATGGTGAGCTTGGTCATCAGCTAATGGAGTACGATGGTGACTCTTCAATGCCTCTACTATAGTTTTTTCCAAAACTCTCGTACCAATCAAAGACTTCGGTGCTAAAAGATTACAAGGGTTTTTAGTCTTATTTATGCCTTTTAGTCAATCTACTACGCATGCCTAGCTAGGGCTACTCTTGCAAATGAATAACGTGTAAAATGGGTTGAAGATTTGGAATCTTATCGGGACGGCATTATTTCATTAACTCTTTCGCACCCTCCTTTGCCTCCTATATATATATATATATATATATATATATATATATATATATATATATATATATATATATATATATATATATATATATATATATATATATATATATATATATATATATATATATATATATATATATATATATATATATATATATATATATATATATATATATATATATATATATATATATATATATATATATATATATATATATATATATATATATATATATATATATATATATATATATATATATATATATATATATATATATATATATATATATATATATATATATATATATATATATATATATATATATATATATATATATATATATATATATATATATATTCAATTATATTGTGCTCAGTAGCCAACTCCACCAAGGCAAAGAAAACTTTGCGACATAATGCCTAGCTTTGCAAATTACTTATCCAGCCTTACTTATCACCTCAACATTGCTCACTATTTCCTTATCTTCCTTTTCGCCTCCTCATATCAACACACTAGTAAACTCTCTTTTGGTGATGCACTTCCAAGTGTGAAACCATGCATTGATGAGGAGAGACGGGCTCTCCTTGCCTTCAAACAAAATCTCACTGATCCTTCTGGGAGGCTTTCTTCTTGGGTTGGTCAAGCTTGCTGTCAATGGAAAGGAATTTCATGCAACAACATCACCGGTCACGTTGAAAAGATAGATCTCCAAAATACATACACATACACACTGTCTGTTTTTGAAGGAGAGTGGGAAGAGATGGAGAAGTCTTCTTTGGGTGGTGAGATAAATCCTTCTTTACTTAGCTTGAAACTTTTGAGCCACCTAGATCTAAGCAGGAACGCTTTTCAAGGGATTCCCATTCCCACATTCTTCAGTCAGCTCAAAAGTTTGAGGTATCTCAATCTCTCATATGCTTCATTTGGAGGAGAAATTCCAGCACATCTTGGTAACCTATCAAACTTGAACTATCTTGACCTAAAAGTGAAGAGTCTGACTATTCTTCACTTGAACTACCTTCCAACAGCTTGAATGGGCTTTCCAATCTCTCTTCCCTAAAATACCTCAATCTTGAAGGAGTGGACCTCAGCAACACTGGGGTAAGTTTGGTAAATGTTTTAAGCAAGCTTCCTTCCCTACTAGAGTTGCACTTACCAGCATGCCAAATTAAAAGCCTTCCAATCTCACTAGGAAATGTTAGCTTCACATCACTTTTGATCCTTGACATGTCTTATAATGATTTGAAGTTTCCATTTCCTGAGTGGTTCTTTAATCTGTCTAGCCTCAGAAAACTTGATCTAAGTGGTAATTTTTTGGGTGGTCCAGTTCCCAGTGATTTTGAAAGCCTCCAATCACTAGAAGCCCTTGATTTATCTTTTAATGATCTTGTAGGTCAAATTCCCAAATTCTTCGGGAACTTTTGCAATCTAAAGACATTGAATCTTGCAAATAACCAATTTGAAGGGGGGATTCAAGGGCTTTTGGGGGGTTTATCAAGTAGTCCCAATAGTGAGTTAGAGTCACTAGATTTGTCTTCTAATAAGCTGAAAAGCCAATTGCCTGCCTCTGTAGGGATGCTACACAATTTGAAGTATCTTAAACTCTACATCAATGATATGAGTGGGTCTATTCCTGAAAGTTTGGGGCAACTCTCTAAGCTAGTTCACCTAGATCTATCTTTTAACCCATGGGAAGGGTTTTTAACTGAAGCCCATTTCATAAATCTCACAAGATTGGAATACATTGCATTGGGTAGAGTGGATCCATACCCAAATAAGTCTATTCCCCTCAGTTTTAAGGTGTCTGACAATTGGGTTCCTCCTTTCATGCTTCACACAATCAACATTGGGAACTGTAAAGTAGGTCCTGTCTTTGGGTCATGGCTTCAATCTCAAACTGACCTTGTCTTTGTCAAACTTCGTGCCGCTGGAATCTCAGATTCTATACCAGAGGATTGGTTCATGAAAATATCTTCCCAAGTTGAGTATTTGGATTTGTCTTACAACCAAATCCATGGAAAGCTTCCATTGCAATTGAAATTCCCAAATGCTGTGCTTTTGGATTTGAGTCATAACCAATTTGATGGGTCAATTCCACTTTGGTCTGGTGACAATGTGGTTCGGTTTAAGCTTGAAACCAATTCATTTTCAGGCCCAATTCCATTGAATTTGGACCAAAAGTTTCCAAAATTGGAATCATTTTACCTTGCTGAAAATCATTTGAATGGCACCATTCCAACTTCCATTTGCCACATGAAACGCTTGTTAATCCTTTCTCTGAGAAACAACAAGCTATCAGGAGAATTTCCACAAGCATGGAGCCTGTTGCTTAACATACTGATTGTAGATGTTGCATACAACAATCTCTCAGGCAATCTTCCCAGTTCAATGGGTGCCTCAGGTACTCTTTTCATGTTGAAGATGAACAACAACAATTTCGAGGGCGAAATTCCGTTTTCCTTGCAAACCTGCACTTCTTTGAGGAACATTGATCTTGGGGATAATAGATTCACTGGTCAAATACCTCCATGGATAGGATCAACTGCTTTCTTGGTGTCAACCCTAAGGCTGAGATCCAATTTTTTAAGCGGACATATCCCACAACAGTTGTGCAATCTTGGCTACCTTCACATCCTAGACCTTTCTCACAACAGCTTTTCCGGGACAATCCCCAAGTGTTTGAACAATCTCACTGGTCTCAGAATCTTTAATGACAGTTTTTATAATATATATCTAGAGTATGACCAACAAACAACAGTGATGAGAGGAAGAGAACTCCAATTGAACACTTCTCTAGCGTATGTAAAAAGCATTGATCTTTCATCAAATAGGTTTGAAGGTGAAATCCCTCAAGAAATATGCAGCCTCGTTCTATTGCGCAACTTGAACTTGTCGATGAATCAGTTCAGTGGAAACATCCCATCAAAGATCGGAAACTTGTCGCAGCTCGATACTCTTGATCTCTCACTCAACCACCTGTCAGGACAGATTCCTCAAAGTCTTTCATCCTTGACCTTCTTGTCTAACTTGAACTTGTCTTATAACAACTTGAGTGGTGAAATTCCTTTGGGAAACCAACTCCAAGCACTCCCTGATTCATCCATTTATGAGGGCAACCCATTCCTTTGTGGATTTCCTCTTTCAACCAAGTGCTCCGAAGATGGCAATTCTACTCCCAAGGATCCAAAAGACAATGACAATGAAGATGGAAATGAGAAGTTCTAGTTCTATGTAAGTATGGCACTCGGTTTTATCGTAGGCTTTTGGGTTGTTTGTGGCACATTAATTGTGAAGAAGTCATGGAGATATGCTTATTTTCGATGGTTTGATGACATCAAGGAAAAAATTTATGGTGAAAGTGACTCGTCTTGAAAGGAAATTTAGATTAGAAAAGAAGAGTAGAAGTAGCTCTTTGTAATGTATACTTATTCATCTAGAAATAAATAAGTTATAGTTTGATTTGCTGTTGTTAGAACACCCACAGTATTCGTCCTTGTTGGGTTGATGCTCTCAAAGGTGACTTGATCATTTGGTATCCTTTGACTTGATCATTTTAGTAATATGATGATATTTGAATAAGAACCTAACTATTGTGCAGTGGATTCAAACAGATGATTAGAGCCATCTGTTCATAAACAATGTATTTGTTCTATCCATCACTGTATCATGTAATTTGCAATGCACTTGAACTCCCTTATTTTCCTAGTGCTCAACCAAAGTAACGATTAATTATTAACAATTGCCATTTGCCAAGACTTAAGTCTTGGTGAATGCTTTCCTCACTCGGTTTTGTTCGTTTTGTTTATGCCTACTTGCCAATCTAGCGAACTTGTAAAATTTGTTCAATATATATTTGGAATTTGGATGTGACATCCTGTTCGGTTCATTTCTACACATGATTTATCATGTTATTCACCCATTATTTTGAGTTAGTTCTTGACATTTTATAGCTTTTTAATTTCTTTTTGTGTTTTCATAGATTTTAACTTGGTTAGAATGAAAATGAGCTAAAAGTGCATTATTGGTTATAAATTCTGTTTTTGTTCATTTTCGTAGGTCAACTTCTTGGCCTTGGATCAGCATGCTCCAGTGCTCGGATGAGGTGAAGATCTTCATGAAACTTGTTCCAATGGATGTTAACTACAACATATCCAAATTTGAGCTCCATTGGACAAGTTTAGCCTATCCAACTGATCCTATATGTTACAGCAGCTCTGGAAATCCGAAGTAGGCCAGTTTTTTTTACCTCCATAATGTTATCTTGATTCTTCTTGTTACCATAACACTTGGTAACAAGAAATTACTTTGGTTGAGAGATATTATCTGAAACAAAGAGCATCTTGGTGAAGACAATAACAAAAGTACCTGTTCGGTTCATTTTTACACATGATTTTTCATGTTATTCACCTATTATTTTGAGTTAGTTCTTGACATTTTATAGTTTTATACTTTCTTTTTGTGTTTTAACCAAACCCCCCCCCCCCCCCAAACGTGGTGTGTTTTTGTCATCGCTTTTTGTCTGTTTTTGTACTTGGTTTTGGATTTTGATCTGCGGTGTATTCTTCGTTTTTGTGTGCCGAATCCAACCATATAAAGAACGTGAAATTTGGACAAATAGTTGAAAAGTTATAGGCCAAACACTGAACAGAGGTCGAAACTGAAAAACAGAGAAACGAATCTGTCCAAATGGTGATAAAAGGGTGACAGAAAGTGTTGTTTGTGTTTTTCTTTGGTTTCTTGTTTTGTTTCTTTTTTTTTTACCTTTCTTTACTCGTTTTTTAGTTCCCAATTTGTACTGTGTTTGTGTGTTGTGTAAAATAAGTGTTCTTTATGTACTCAAATTAGAACTTATAGGAAGCCGACAAGTTCTTCGTGGGATCGACCCCATACTTACATAATCTATACCTCAATAGATTCGTGCACTTGCGGGTATTTTTAATTGGTTGTTTGCACATTAATTTGTGTCAATTATGAATACGACACATCCCACATCGACCAACGGAGACGGGGTGATGTGCCTTATATGTACATGCCCACCTCCATCTAGCATGTGGCCTTTTGGGAGCTTACTAGCTTCGGATTTCATGGGAACTTCGAAGTTAAGCGAGTTCTTGCTAGAGCAATCCCAGGATGGTTGACCTACTGGGAAGTTGCTCGTGAGTTCCCAGAAACAAAACCGTGAGGGCAGGGCCCAAAGCGAACAATATCGTGCTACAGCGGAGCCGATCCAGGATGTGACATTGGATGTCAATGATTTAATGATTCTGCTCAGTTGCTGATAAGTCTATATTTTACATATATTTTATGTCTCCTTTACTTATTTATTTGTTGATTTCCTTGGATTAAATTGGGTGTTTTAATTTGTTTTGTGAGATTTGTGAAGGTTGTGGAAATAAGAGAAATTGAGCTAAAAAGGGCCAGAAGATGAAGATTGAAGATAATTTGGAAAGAAGCCAAGTAATTACTTTTGTTGCAAGGAGTGTTGTCAAATTTCCTAGCTCAAGATGGTTCAAGTCTTACCAAGTCAACAAGGAGAAATCAAGACGACCCTAGATTATTAGGAATCCTATTTTTATAATAATTGTAATTATACCTTAGATAGGTAGGATTTCTAGGAGTATTATAAATAGGAAGTTTTGGTTATTGGGGGGAGAACGCTAGGCCATCAAATTCCTACACACTCATTAAATCATGGAGAAACATGTCGGTAGTAGTATCCTCATTGAATATATACTTGGCATTCTACTTGAAGAATTAAGTGCCTTCCATGTCTTCATCAACCATTATGTTTCTCAATACGTCCTTCATGAACTAATTTCTTTTACTAGGGCTACGATGTAGCATAGCTACAAATACTCAAATTCTTCTTTGATATTGTTAATTTCATTTATCTATACAAGTTGAGTGCTTGTTACTGTTCTTAATGCTTTAAATTAATTGGCTACTAATTGCATATATAATTGGAAGAATTGAGTTGAGACCGGAAGGAGATGCCTAATAAATAGCTTTTTGTAATAAGTACCATAAATTACATAGCTGACTCGGAAGATT